ACCCAGCTGAGTTTGCGCAGCCAATGCAATCGTGTCTTTTTTGGTCCTTTTTCCTGATGCTTAAATTTCTTACTCTGCCCGTGGAGTTTAACTTATTGCGTTGTTGCTTGCGGTGCGGTTTCCGCTCTTTCTCGTCATGTGTCTTTTGTCTCACCTCGCCGCCCGTTGAGCTTTGAGACGTGGCGCCGTTATTAGTTCCGAGCGGTTGACATCTGCTGCTGTCTTCCCGCGCAAGCCACCGTTGTGCCTTGATGCCTTTTGTTTTCTCTTGCTTTGCCTCAAGGAGGGTTTGCCGGGCCACACGGGGAGAGGGGAAGGAGGGAAAGGCGTTCGTCAGAGCACAACGCACAGCAGACGATGGTGGATTGCTTGATTTTTTATTCGACGTCAATAAATGCTTAGACCGGACGACAGCCACGCAGCTGCCCCTCCGGCCACGACTGGGGGACGCTTTCCCTGCTGTATTACGCTGGAGGACATCAGCGTGGACCTCTGCACCATCTTCGCCTCTCCCTGGCAGTCATGCGTCGAGACGCCCTGCTGGGATGAAATGCGCGTGGTCATGTCTAGGGACGGTGCCACTCAGTGCACACGGTGGCTTTCACCGACGTTGGCAATGCGCCAGCCTGCGGCCGTCGGGGCCAAAGGAGCCGATGCCGTCAGGGCATCATCGGAGAATTCCTTCGCTGTCACTGAGGTGATGTGGTCCCCCCTCAATACGGCGGCCTTTACGGTGTACTTTAGGTTGCATGACAAGGACGCCGAGCGCTCACTCGACCCAGGACACGCGCGCCCCGCGAATCTGACGAACCTGAAGTACTTGGAAGATGCCGGCCACGGTGAAGGCAGGGGGCGAACCCGTGAGAGGGTGCTTCCAAAGACAATTAACCCTTTTTACCTTCGCGTTGAGTGTCGCAACCCCAAAAATCTCCGTTTGGGGGCTGAAGGGGGTGAGAAAGCTCCTACCAGTGCGAGCGTCGAGGCGGTGTCTGCGTACTGTGCCAAGTGGGTGTCGAGGGTATCGAGCGTATTCAAGAAGGCCTCGATCAAACTTGCTACAGAGTTTTCAACAGGATCTCCCTCCGTCAAAAAAGAAGAGGCGGGTCCCTCTCTGACGATGCTAACTAACCGGTACAGCAGAGGTGCACCTGCCTTCTACCTGTGTGATAAAAACGGGGTGGACCCCAGTGAAGCGTACAACGCGGTTGGGGGAAGACGACGCATTTCACTGCAGCTCTTTCCCTCGCACCCGAAATTGCCCAGGAAGCAGACAGGCGTGCCTCTCAAGCTCCACTTCACCATGGTGGCTCACTATGACGACTGCGTTACCCGTCCTGTAAGAGATTACCACTCGCTGGTGGTGTTGGTCGACCAGGTGAGGTTGGACGTTGGGATGGCCCGGCAAGACACGGACGCCAAAAACGGTGCTGCTCCTCGGCTGGTGACGGGGTACGCCTTTGGTTTTACCTCGGACACCTCCAAGACCGTCGAACTTTGCTATCGTTCTCCGTTTTTAGCCCCACCCGAGGTCCAGTCGAGGGAGGAGGGGGAGGTGCGACTCGTGGATTTCTCGTTGCTGCATCCCTCGCAAAACGAGCGTGAACTAACCGCGTTGGACTTGGCGGCGAACCCGACGTCTGCGTGTATTGTCTCTTCCGGGTGTAAAGTGGGAAACAAGAGGCGAATCGGAAACCGTGTCGTCTTGGTCTCTCGCTTCAAGACGGGCGTCGACGGTCTTTGCAAGCCGTCGTACAAGTGCCGGCTGGTGATGGGATTGTTTCGTCGCTACGACACCGGCGAGGTGGAGCTGGAGCGGTGCGAGCGCCCCCTCGACCTCGCCTCCATCCTCAACCAGGACTACTACCCAGACAAGGTGCGAGCCATGACGTTCTCTCGGGGAGAGTTCATGAGTTTCAGGCTTCGTAGGCGCTGCTTTGCGGCACCTGAGCAGTGCCGCAGTGAACTCCTCCTGCCGTATGATTACGACAACAGCGGCGTGGAAATCGGCGCGGCGGCGGAGGCGGACGACGCTGTCTCCTTCTCAGAGGGGTGTGTAGAACAGGCACACGTGGAGGCTGCTGCCGCAATGGTGGCCAAGGACGATAGCACCACGCAGTTGGGCGAGGGAAATTCTACCGCGTCGAGGCACACTAACGATGCGCCCGAGAGCGGCTCCCGTCATCCGGATGCGAGTGGGACTGCTGCCGCGCCGGCTGCCTTCCTCACGGGCGCCATGGCGCAGGTGGCGGAGCAGCCGGTTACACGCATAACGGACAGTGTCATGACGTCGTACAACAACTATGAAGACAATACTTACGCCCCTGTACAGAACGACAAGGCGTCGGTTGCGACGGACTCAAGAGCCGGCACTGTGGAAAGTGAGCCACTGCGAGATGGAGATCAAACGTGTGTAACAACGTTAACTGCCAGTAATAACTTGAACCCCTTCCCCGTGCAATGTACGATGTTCAATCCTTTTGCGTCCGTGTCAGACTCTTCAGAGTCCTCACCCAAGCCCTCCTTGGATATGAAGGCCAGCACACCGCCCGAGGTGGGTCTGAAGAACCCCTTTGAAGAGAAACCCAATGCGTTTGTGTTTGACATCAATGAACCCAAAGAGAGGGCGACGGTTGGAGATTTGAGACTAGTTACTTTTGAAATAACTCCCCAGCAGGAGAGCGTGCATGATGGGACCACCGGATGGCCTGCACTAGTGAGGCCCTACACGCTGGAGCCCTTTAAAACCCCAAGCACATCGGGGTCTTAGCTGATGCAAAAAGGATGATACGACTGTCAGACCTGAGAGAAGTGAGGGCAACAATACGAATGTTGTTATGCTCTTCTCTCGCACCCTTTGACTTTGCCCCTGCGTGTATAACTAGTGTTGACTCCCTTACTGCTATTACTTGTTGATTAGCTCTAGTAGTATCAATAGTGGTAGTAATATGAATATTAGTATGATGTGATTACCGTGATTTTTAATGAATAAAGTTTGCTCTGCTTCACACCTGAGGTCGTACTACATCACTTCTGGGAACTGGATGCGCAGCAGCAATGTGTTTTACTCCACTATTTTCTCTCTTCGCCTAGCGCTGTAGTGTGTATGTGTGAGAGAGAGCGCGAGCGAGAGTTGTTCTTCCTGTCGCATGTTCCGTGGTCTGTTGGGCGGGGCAGGCCGGCAGTGGCGTTCAGAGCGGCGGCTTGCGACTGTAATGGGCGCCACGCGTAGAAACCCTGCGCAGAAGTCGACGTATCGCATCAGTAGAACACAACTGGCGAAACAGAGTGCATTGCGGGGGAACGAGGATGCAAACCGAAAGCAAAAAGGCTCAATGGGCCGATCTATTAGCTGCAGCGATCTCTCGCATGCGGACGTGGAATTTTTACGCGGCCAGCAGGACGAGGCGCTTGCGGAGCAAGACGCATGCGTGAGATCCCCCACGCGCGACGCAGGTGCCGCCCAATACCGTCTGCGTTCTTCGGCTTCTCCACAGCAACTACGGTACGGCAGTGTGGATTCCGCTAGCGGCAAGAGCATCGTTCAAGAGCGCTTTGATGCGCTGGTGCATGACGCGCTGTTGAAGTATGGTCCTCCGCTTCCTGCCGAATTCGTCTCGGAAAATGATATCATCGCACCATTTGCCGCCAGTAACGATTCTGCTGCGCCCGCATCGTCGCAGAAGGAGGACCCTGGCGCCCACTACTTTTACGATGAGGTGCAAGTCAGACCTCAGGAACTCTTTGGTATCATTCGACAGCTAGACCCTTCGTTTAGTGTTCGTACGCATGCTGACGGCGTCCCCTTCTCGTTGCTCATTAAAAACTGCCTCTATCTTAGAGCCTGGGGAGGGAAGGTGCACTTCATGCGCTGCCTGAGACGTCTGCCGCTGCGCACCGGTGGGGACGGCGAAGGTGAGGAAGCAGTGCGTGGGGAGGTAACGACGACGCTTGCAACGTACAAGATGAGGGAGTCCCCCTCATTCGATGGCGTTCGCCAGGGCCCCCAGCCGTGGCTGTATAACTATCGCATGATGTGAAGGAGTCGAAGCTTCCTTTTTGATTATTGTAACAACTTCTGCATTTTGCCTTCGTTTTTTTTTCTTTTCTTTTTCCTCGCGCCAACTCGGTGAGTATGCTGGATAATTCGGTAATTACTTCCTCATGTTTCGTGTTTTTTTTGTTTTTATTTCTAGCTGCCCCGCTTATACTTGTGTACGCTTGCTGCTTAAGGGCATTGCAAGCGGCAGCCAACGGGAGCGTCACAAGTGTGGGGTTATTGCCTGCCGCTCACAATGCCGGAGGCAAAGGTGGAAGAGGAATGCACTCCGCCTTCCACCGCAAGGGGTGCTGTGGGCAGCCTAGCTGCACTGCTCCAGCCAGCTCTTGGTGTTGGAAATGTTATGCAGAGCGTCGTTGCGCAGCAGCAACGTCTTGTTCACGATATTGAGGCATTGAGTGCGGAGCTACAGGAGGCTCAAAAGCATTTTGATGCCCTCAACGAGTCTCAGCGCCGCAAATTAGACCTGTACAGCGCCAGGGTCGCGCGATGTCGTTCGAAAGCGGCGGTTTTGTTTCGACAACTCTCAACAATAAAGGAACGACTTTTGCGTGTGCATAGTGTCCTTTTGCAGCGACGGGCGAATCAGTCGACAGAAAACGTGGTGCAGAAGGAGGAGTTGGCCCCCACTGCCTCCGCACAGGAGAACGTGGCCGGAGCTTTTCCTGCTGCCGAGGGGGTGGAGAAGCAATACGATGACGTCGTTCCCGCAGCCGAAGTGGGAAACACATGACGAGTAAATAAAAAAGAAACGGCCAGAAACGCGCATAAAGACCGATATTGCTGTTTTTGCTGCTGCGGTGACATCTGCGAGGGGGCCGCTGGCTCGAAGTCGTGTGAAGATGCATCGAAGACTGCTGGTGTTGGAGGCGGGGTCACGGCCGTTCCCTCCTCTCGGGAATGTGAACTGGAGGCACTCTGTCGCCGTGGAGTTGCCTTTTTGTACTCTTCTCTCTCCTTATTTGCTCTTATTGTTGTTGCGGCGTCTTACTCTTGTTCAGTGTTAACGTTTGTTTGAATTCCGTGTGATGGCTGCATGCGCACGGCGGAAAGCCAAAGTGGCCTCGCTTTGAATGAGGCAACAAAAAGCAGGATTGCCACCTGCGTCTCCTAAACACTGGAGCGTGGGCGGCCGCTTCCCTTTACACGTTGCGTTGCGTTTGGGGGAGTGGCGACGGTCTTGTGTTGTTCTTGTTATTGTGCTTTCGCTGAGGGCGTGTCGCGCCGTCCTCCTCTTCACCTGCGGCAGGGTGGTGGTCCCTCTCACAACGGAGCCAAACCCCCGCGCCTCTCTTTTCACTGCGAAATGTATATTTGCACCCACTTGAAACGATGCTGCTTTGCGGCGGCGGGAGCAGCAGCGGCATGAGCGGATTTCGTTTTCATTATTGTTTTATTTTTTCTTTTCTTCTCGCTGCATAGTTGGCAAAAAAATAAAAACTCACCATTTTGCGCAGGACACTGTCGTCGGGGAGCCGCACGCCGAGGGCCCCCACGGGTGGGGCAGGGCTGCTGGCACAGGCGCAGGACAGCATTGGCCCCGTCTTTGGTGGCGCAGGCCGCTACTGGGACAACTTTAAACATCAGGCGCGCAACCTCCTCACGGATGAGCCACCAGACGAAGTGGAAATTATGGAGATGCCCCAAGACAATGGAATGATAGGCGACCTGCAAGAAATGTCATCCCTCACATACCGGCAACGTTTTGTGGGTTTCTTTGCCACGCTTGGTATGGGACTGTGCTTCATCGCAATCGCAGCTTTTTTTGCGCCGACAGTTGCCATCTTCCCGAAGAAGTTTACTTTCTTTCTCACGGCAGGAAACGTTTTTTGTGTGGGATCCACCGCTTTTCTGGTGGGGTTCCAAAAGCAGCTTCGTTCCTTTTTCGATGCAAAACGCCTAGAGGCGGCCGTCATGTACGTTGTTGCCACCATCCTTACGCTTATGGCTGCGTTGTACTGGAAGTCGAGTTTTTTTTCAATTTTTTTTGCCGTCGTGCAGGTGTTTTGTTTGCTGTGGTATGCGCTGAGTTACGTACCCTTCGCGCGTCGCGCCGTTGGGCTCGTTTTTTCGTATGTGTGGTTTATTGTTTGGCCTGTACTTCGTGTTGTGTATCAGGCGCTGCGGCAGTGCTGCGGGGCAATTCTCTCCCGCGCGAGATAGTTCTTCCTTGCTGGGGTAGATGAAGCAGGAAGGCGCGGCCACCCACCAGCCTGGAGAGGGCAAAAGGAAAATGGAGGCCAGCAGCTGTTCACGCCTGCGGCGGATCTCGTCGTGCCCGTGTGGGGCGCGCACGTTAAATGGGCGACCGTGTCTTTGTTTTACCTGATGTTTTTTTTCTTGTGTGTGTGTGTTTTTTTTCTTCTTCTTCCTTGCCTCCCGGTGCGCGCTGTTTGCCTATTCTGACGACTACTTCTGCCTTGTCGCTTGCGTGTGCGTTCGGGTCGTTGTTCGACAGGAGCAAGGGAAGATGCGCGGCACATTACTTCTGCGGTGCGGCGCCGGCGCCGGAATTGCGCTTCCGAGCTGGAAACCGCAGGAATTTGGGGCGCAGGGCACTCATGCATGGCGGATGTTTTTCATCAGCGACTCCGCCGCGGAGGTGGCGAAATTGGCGGGAGCGACAGCACCGGCGGCGGCGATGCGCTCGGCGTGGCACGACCTCGCCCTGCACCCCGCCGCGGATCCGTCCATTGTGACTTTTGTCTGCGAGATCCCGAAGGGGACGCGGGCGAAGATCGAGCTCAAGCCGGAGGAACCGCACAATCCCCTTGCCCAAGATGTTGCGAAAAAACAGGAAGGCCAACCGCTGCGTTTCTACACGTATGGGGACATTCCTTTTAACTACGGCTTTGCTCCACAAACGTGGGAGGACCCGTTGCTGGTGGACGCCGTGACGAAGTGCGCCGGCGACGGTGACCCGATAGACGTTGTGGAGGTCTCCAACTCGCCGCTCCCTCGGGGCTCCATTCGGGCCGTACGCGTGCTTGGTGTCTTGGGGCTCATTGACGAGGCGGAAACGGACTGGAAGATTATCGCTGAGACACTGCGGCCTGACGGCGGTGGCATGTACGGGAGTCTCCAAAAAGTTCCACAGGAACTCAAGAGCATCATTTTTCGCTGGATGCGTGACTACAAGACCACCGATGGAAAGAAGCGGAACGAGTTCGTCTTTAATGGTGAAATACGTGGCGTAGACGAGGCCCTGGACGTCATCAGTGCCTGCTCAAATCAGTACGGTAGCCTCCTCGACGGCACCGTCGAAAACCCGGGGTACTGGCTGCGGTAGCGCCGGGCACGAGGCACCTGCTGCGCCTTTTTGTATCGCGTTTTTGGGTTTGCGGAGGTGTGATAACTCTTTTTTTTTTGTTTGGCTGAAGAGCCTACCACATTTTTTTTTTGCGTTGTTTACTGCTGGGGGATGTGATTTCATTCTCCTAGTTGCTTGGGGTGTGCCGCGTGAGCTCCGTCGCCACTGTTGCTTTTATTCTCTCTTGTTGTTGTGGGGAGCAACCGTTTCCAGAAAGTTGCGGCGGCGGCAACAGTAGCCACTGTAGACTAGCACACGCATACGCATACGGGCTCGCAACATGGGCAAGTCCAAAGCGATGCCGGGGACGCTGGACACCACCGAGGCGGACAAGTCAACCCCGAAGTCAATTATTATTTACCGGGGCGAGGTTGGCAACAACGTTCGCACCCTCATGCACGACTGGCGTGCGGTGTTCCTGCCTTGGAGCAGCAGGAACCTGCACGGCAAAAACAGTTCCCTCAAAGACTTTCTGGCCATCGCCTCAACCTTTAGCGTGTCACATCTGCAGTTGTTTACCGCCCCGTCGCATGGAACTTCACTGCGTATCATGCGGTTTGCCAACGGCCCGACGTTGTGCTTCCGTGTCCTTTCTTTTACGCTGCGTCACGAGGTCGTGGCGACGCAGCGGCGTCCATTGTCACTAAGCCAGGCTGTCTGGGAGGTTGCGCCTATTGTCGTGTTGAACAACTTTACCCACCCCGATGCCCAGCGACGGCCTGAGGTGCCATTGCTGGAGGCGACGTTTAAGGGCATGTTTCCCACAGTGAATATTCAGTTGGTGAAAAACTCTGACATCCAGCGCGTCTGTCTCTTTCACTACGACCATGTGGAGCATGTTGTGGAGGTGCGGCACTACTTTATCAATGCGAAGGCTGTAGGTGTCAGTAAGACGGTGAAAAAGCTTCTCGAGCGCCGCTGCCCAACAAAGCTTGGGACGCTGGAGACCATTGACGAGGTTCTTGACCGCGAAGATGCGTGGTCCGACACGGACGGAGAGGGGGAGGAGGTGCCGCTCGCTCAGCCCTTCCGCCAACACCGCGAGCAGTGCCGCATTAAGCTGCAGGAGATCGGTCCCCGCCTCACGCTGCAGCTCGTGAAGGTGACAAACGGCTTTGCCAGCGGCGAGGTGCTGTTTCATAGGTTTGAGAGCAAGACACCGTCGGAGGTGGCACAGAACGCCATGAAGGTTCGCGCGAGGCGAGGCGATAAGGCCAAGCGAAAGGCGGAGCAGGACGAGAACGTGCGCCGAAAAGAAAATATGAAGGAAGAACGTTTGCAGGCGAAGCGGCAGAGGCGTGAAGAGGCGCTGCGACGGCAGGCGGAGGACCCCTTGGACGTGGTGGACTCCGGCTACGGCGCCGACGCGGAGTGAGGCAGGGGTGCTTTCCCTCACGCGACAAGGGAGCAACGAATGAAGAGGCGAGGAAAGGAAGAAGAGAAAAAGAAGCGGGGAAATGCCTCTTCAATTAAACGGAAAAAAAATAGTGAAGGCGAAATCCAATAAACAACGGTTAATAGAAAGTGTTGATACGTGGGTTCCCAGTTGGAGGTCACGCGTCAACCGATGAAATCTATTGAGACGTCCGTTAGCACATCTTCACCGCAGGTAATGCATCTCCTTCGTGTTAATTTCTTTCCTTTTTTTTTACTTCTTCTTTGTCTACCGAATAGGTACAGAGAGCGCCCCTTTCCTTCGCTCTACATATATATATATATATATATATAGTTTTATTATTAGGCATATACGTATCCACTGGTTGAGTATGGGTTGCATGCAGCGTCTATTCAACGGTGTCCTTTTCTGTTTCTTCTGCTTCTTTCAAGAGGCTCTGTTGGACGGCGTGATGGCGTGCAAAAACATTCATCATACGCTCTATGTACTCCTTTGCTTCTTCACTGGTCGAAGTCATCTTGCCTATCCTCGCCCTTTGGTGCAGCTGAAGAGAAAAAAAGCCGAATTGGCGCTGTCGCGGCGCCGCAAGGCCCACTCCCCCGGATCTCACGCCTCCTCAAGCAGCTGTACAGCGGTGGAGCGGTGGGACTCCGCTGGCGATAGCGCCTTGTCGAGAGGGAATGGCGGGCGGGAGGCGGGTTCCCCGTTGATGAGGCGAACCGACTCGTTCTCGATAGCCGAAGGTGGTACAGCACCCAATGAATGTTGGGTCCAACGTTGTGTGCGGCGTGGCCACAAAGGCGAGCTCTCTGAGTTGCTGCCAAGGACACGCGCGACGCCGTTGGTCTCGCCAGCGTATCACCTTTGCCATTCCGAGAGCCTGCACCACCTTGTGAGCAACGTCATCGGCCCAATTCAGCAGCCGACGGTTTCCGCGCTGCCGACGAGGCACACAACGCCCCAGTGGCCGCCGCATTCGTCTGGTCGCCCCTTCACCAGACACGATGACCGCCGGGGCGACATTGGCCTCACCACCGATGACTACAGTAGCACAACTAGCGGTCAGCGCCATCCGCTGCGTAACACGGGTGCCTTGTCGGGCCTGGCCCATGCCTCAGCAGACGCCAGAAGCAGTAACGTCTTCCAGACTGTCTCCACCGTTGTGTATCGACGTGAGAGCAGTAAGCGGATGCAGTTTGGCCGCGCCGTGGGCTCAAGGATGCCGTTGCAACCAATCGCCTCCATCACCTCTCACCACGTCCTGTCGTACCAAGCTACGCGTCAGAAAGTGCTGATCATGGACCTCGATGAGACACTCTGCTTTGTGTCAACAAAACTTTCCGCCTGCCGTTATCCTCCAACTTTTTCAGAGGTTATCCCGACCGCCACGGGGGCCGAACTCTTTTTTATTTGGGAAAGGCCTCACGTGCGTTTATTTCTTAGTACGCTGGCGAAGCTGTTCAATCTTGCTCTTTTCACGTCGTCGACAAGGCCGTACGCGGACTCCATTCTTCGTCGCCTGGACCCAGAAAGGGTCATTAAGCGTCGTTATTACCGACATCACTGCGTGCAGGTCCCTCGATCTGCGTTTCCGGGGGCGCCTGGGCAGTGCGGTGCGGCGCAGAGTGTGGGAGGGTCCCGTGAAGCGGCATCGCAGGATGCGGTGAGTGCGGCGACAGACGCACCACAAAGCCTCGGAACGGCTGCCGGTGAGGATGTAGCAAGTGACCTGATAAGTACTCTGCCTCGCTCTGCCGCCGCCGCCGCCGCCGCCGCCGCCGCAGCCAACAACGCCAAGACGTCTGACAGAGGTGAAGTTGGAAACGGCACAACACTTGTAAAGGATCTTCGCATCCTAAAGGTTCCACCAGAGTTAATGGTCATGGTGGACAACGTGGAGGAATGTGTTTTGGCCAACCGAGATAATGCGCTGGTGTTGCCCCCTTTTTTCCCACCTGCATTCGCGGGCACAGCAGACAACGCGGCAACCGACGATGTTTTGCTCTCCCTTATTCCTTTCCTGGAGTCCTTGCTAGTGGTACCGGACGTGCGCTCTGTACTGCGGCACGGGCGACTTCGTTGGCCTCAAAGAAGTGAAAAATGAACACCAAACGAAATCAACAGGCTTTCTTCTTGTCTTTTTTTTGGCCTCTGTTCTCTTCAACTATTCGGAGGGTCGAGCCTCATTGTGTGGGTAGAAGCCGTGCGATTTCTCTTCTTTGAGTTTGAGCGTGGGCCTACGCGGTGGCTGGGCCTGTTTTTGCGTTACTGTTGCTACGCGGCGTGGACCTGGCTATTATCACGCAGGGGTCGGCGACGGTTTTGTTGTGTGTGTGTGTGTGTGTGTGTGTGTGTGCGTTTTCGGTTTGCTGTTTTAGTTTTTGTTTTCTGGTGTCATGCAACCTTCTTCCCTGTTCCCTCCCTTATTGTTTTCGCGTGCGCGGATGCACGGCGGATGACCCGCCTTCCACACGCATCAACGGAGGGAAGGAAGTAAAGTGGAAATAAAGGGGCGAATAAAAAGGAGGCGTGTGTGCTGTGTGTGTGTGTGTGTGTGGGCGGGCCATGCTTTTTTGGATTGGCCGCCACGCTCTTGCAAGAGTTGCGCCCGCGGTGCGTGTCGCCGGCGGTGGTGCCCGCCAGCTGAGTTGCTCGGCCCTGCTGCTGCCGCCCAAACGACGGGCGGCGGCGGCGGCGGCGGCCGGATCCGCCAGGGCCGCCACACGGGGGGCGGCTGCTGCGCCAACGCGGACGAATGACCCCTCGCCGCGACGCCGGCAGCGACAAACAACGGAGGAAAGTCATGGCAGCGAAGCCGTCGAGCCGCGAGTCCCGCGGGCCTCCTCCACAGCACCCCGCGCAAAAAAGAAGCTGAAGGAGGTGCAGGCTGTGGCCGAGGCAGTGCGCCATCAACACACCCCCATTGCAGGCGACGAGAAGAATGCGACTGCCAAAGCGAACCTCACCGTTGACGTCCTCCGCGTTGTGGAGGAATGGGGGGCGGCGTGCGCAAAGGTGCGGCCGGAGGATGGGGATAATGGGGAGGCCCAAGGCGAAATTAAGAATGCCGCTTCCCCCGTGCCGGTGACGGACAGCAAAAAAGGCAGAACCCAACTAGGGGCCGCTGCTCTTGCCGCGCTGCTCGCCCGGGCTGCGAAGATGCCAGATGAATACCCAACACTTCACTGCGTGCTGCAGGTTTACCAAGAGAAGCATTCCTCTCGAAATGACGTGGTGGTGCTCCACGCAGCCGAGATTGTGCGTAACGTGGATCACCTCTCCACCCTTGTTGCTTTTTTGCGACTGTGTCGTACGAGTGCCTCAAGCAGTACTCCGGTATACGAGGCAGTCATGGGGGAGCTTGTGCAGGCCGCGACGCGGTTGTGGCACGAAGGGGCAAATAACGCCAACAAAGGCGAGCAGGATGAGGCTGTTTTGCGGACCACGCTGATGTGGCTTTCCTTGGAGCTCCGCAGGAATTATTTTGAGGTGCGTCCCAAGGTCCCGAGGACATCAGACGTGCCCAAGGGAGGCGCGAAAAAGAGAGGGGAGAAAAAGGGTGCCTCCTTTGAACACAGGGAGTGGTTAGAGGAGACTACCCGGCGGTTGCTTGCAGAGGTTGCCGTCTCCACCTCCGACTGCATCGTCCGGGAAGCGGCTGGTCGTGAACTACGAACCCTAACCGAGGGTGTGGTGAATATGTCTCTTGTTCTTCTTACTTCCGCCATGGCAAGTGAAGTACAACTTTACGCCGCACATGCAGAAGCATGGGAACGGGGAACTTCCCAAATTCGTGAGGCCATAGACGTCTACCTGAGTCGCAGCTCATCCGAGGAGACGCTGAAATTCAGTATGAAGCGGGTGCGGGCGCACGGGTTTGACTTGCTAGATGCGCTCTGTTTTTTGGCCATGGTGGACACCGCCCTTTCCCCCATCCTGCGAGAACGCTTGAAGCGCAGCGCGGCTGACTGTTTTCTAAAGCTATGTGGTGCTGTAGAGGCACGACCGGCTGTATTTACGGAGGTGCTTTGCACCCCAGAAATGGCACAACGTGTGCGGGCGTTGCCTTCAAAAGACCTTGGCGAGGCCACCCAGGCAGCCATCTTCACAGGTGCAGCACTCTTTTGCGAGCGTGCCGATGACGCCGCGGTGGACCAGATGCTGCACAACGTGAGGGTGGTGCAAGGCTCGTCTGATAGGCAAAAAGAGGATGTCTGCGTTGACGCCGAGGAAAGGGATGCGGAGGGTGCGGCGGAGCCGTCTCCGCGGTCGAGACGTGCAAGCATCGCATACGGACTCTTCGCTGCCGGGTTTGACCCCGAGGCAGTGCTGAGTAGCGGACTCTGCGTTGGGCATAGCGCGATGGAGGTGCTTGAGCTGCTGCACGCCGCTGCTTTTTTCTCGCAATCGTTCGCCCTTTCCCCGCTGCCCACGCGGCTCTCGTTGCTGCTCACCACGGAGAGCGCTGCTCTGACAGAGGCGCGCATTCGTGCAGAGAACCGTGCAGGAGCGGCAACAACCGAATGCCTTGAGGGACCGAAGCCTCTTGCGGAGCTGCTAGAAAACCCTCCCCGTGTGAAGGATAAGGGGGTAGGGGAAAGTGACGCTATTGTAGCCCTTGGGACTGTTTTTTATTTGTCGCTTGAAACCGCCGTGGAACTCCTTGTACGGGGGGAGGAAAAGAAGCTCAGCTCGCAGCTTCCGCGGCTGCTGGCGCTGTTGGAGTGGGAGGGATCCTACCATTACCTCGTCGACGGGCTGTCTTTCCTGATTGACGGATTTGTTGGGCGCTTCCGCATCGCTGGGCAACGCCAGCACGAGCGGGCGGACCCAAAATGGAGCACTACCTCCATGGAGGTTGAGCGCTCCTTGTCGGAAGTGACAGCGCTTTTCGTCCCACGTCTTGTTGAGACGGTGCAGAGGCGCTTGGCAAAAACCAAGCGTGCAAGTGCGATGAGTGACGCCGAGCAAAAGGAAGCGGCGCAGTTGCTGCAGGAAATTTTGCGTTTCACCGTCTACGTGGCTGCATGCGGCATGAATGGGACGACAGCGAAGCAACTCGTTGGGCTGCACACCATGGTTGTCAAGGCACTCACCTCGGGTGCCTCCGACGCCAGCCTCGCATCGCTCTCAGAGACGGTGATACGCATGAATATTCTTGTCTCGCATGTGACGGCAAAGCAACGGGAGTTTGGGGTCGCGCGTCACCCTGGATCGACTGGACTGCGGCACTGCAGTATTTTCCTCAACGACGTCGTTGCTGCCCACCTAAAGCCGATTGCTGCGGTGATTCGTCGCGGCGGTAATATTGCGGTGGCTCAAGATCGTTACCAGGTGCTCTCCATTGTGAGTCTCCTCTTCCGACTCGTTTCGGAGTACACCGTGGAGGCGGAGCCGGCGGAGTTAAGAGCGTTCCGCACCGACGTTTTAGACCCCGCACTGACGCGTGTTCTGCAGCAGCAAAACAATGGGAATGTGGCGTCCAACGAAACGCTTGACCTTGACGCACTAAGCGAAATTACGGTGGTGATGTGCGTGCCGCATACAATTCATCACCTTTCGTCCCAACTGTTGGAGCAACTCGCCGCCGCTGTGACTGTGGCGGCGCCGAGGCAGTTTAAATTGGCTCGTACGGGGGAGCAACGACGGTACGCCAGCAAGACGGCGGCGCGGTTGCTCGTCTCTGCCGCCGCGGTTTGCCAGCTCCGACAGGACGAGCTGACGGCACTGTACCTCTCCGTGGTGCAGGCGTTAGGGCCACTGCTGCTTCCGGCCGAGATTTCAGCGGTGCTGTGGTCTTTTGTGACGTTCCATGTGCCATCAGACAGCGACGCCGTTGCTGAACTGCGCACCCGCCTCACGGCAGAGGCAGGAGCGGCAAACTCACTCTTGTCCGTGCCAGAGACAATTTCGTCGCTGCAAGCGCTTTGTGAGCTGGAGGACACAATTCGGTTTGCCTATCCGGCCATCCTGCGGCGGATTATTCACTCAGAGTACCAGTTAACACCGGGGGAGGTTGGCATCGTTGTGCGCGTGGCGACGCGGCTGCAACAACTACGCGGTACTCTTCCAGAGGAGGACTTGGCGTTTCTCCAAGAGCTTCCAATCTCTCTTGCGGAAGTTGCCCTGCGAGTTCGTCAGCAGTGTTCAGCGTCGGATCTTCCGCTCGTGTTGCAAGGGTTTGCCCAGCTAGATAGGGAGCGTTACGGTGATCTAAGGGACCGGGTCATGAAGGCGTACATCCTTCGCACCATTCAGGTCCGCCCACTGTTGGGGCCAAAGGAGGTCGTTGAGTGTCTGGAGAGTTATGCGGCGGCACGGGTGAGTCATCAGTACCTGTTTGGCGTTCTCCTGGCACGTGTGGCGGACGTCAAGTTAAAATTCTCATTGCCCCTCGCAGTGCGTCTCGTGCGGTGCGGGGTGAACACTTCGTGGGACAAGAGCGTTCAGACGGCGTGCCTTACGGCGGCGAAGCCGGTATTTCTCGCACTTGTCCGTCACATACTGCAGAGTGATCCTGCCTCGCTTCCCGCCGTGGCAAGCAACGCCGTGGTGGTGCTGCAGTGCCTCACCGAAGCCTTCCCCAACGACCCCACAAGCGATCTTCTGCTGCAGAACATGGCGTCACACCACACCGCCCTCTCACTCGCTACAATGATGGCAGTGCTTGAATTGATTGCAAGAAGGAGTTCCACTGAGTACAACATTTTGCGGCGCATGGCAGAACATGCCACCACAGTACTTTTTCCACAGACCTCCCCTAGGGCGTTTGCGGAGCTGACTCGACTATTTGTACGGTGTGGCGTGCGATCTCGCATGTTGTTTGCGGCCGTGTCGCAGCGTTTAAAGGAGATTAGCAACAAATGTGATGCCGACGTGTTAACAACCCTTGCGGAGGCTTTTGCCGTCGCCCACGTTGACCTGGAACACGATGTCATTACAACCTTTCTCGAACGCACAGTGGCTATTGCAGAAGAAAGGGACCCACACTTTGAGTTGCACCACTGCGTCGGTGTCCTCAAGCTGCTTGCGCATCTGGAGGCCAACGAGGCCGCACGCGCCACCACGCTTCTTCTTGGATGCGCCAGAAGAGCATTAGAGGCGGCGGAAGCGTCCCGCGGCGGCGCCAAGCTGCAAGAAGCCCAAGACGTTGATGTTCTTTTGTCGGCCTGCCTTCGGGCGGGTCCCGCGCGGCACCGCCCTCTTGCGAGGCACTGCGCTGATGCATTGCTGGTGATCCTGCTGGCGGACCGCGCCAGGGACGAAAAGAGCTGCGGCGACTGGCAGGTCGACCTCATGCTCGTTGTCCAGTTGGCCAGTCACATGGTGCGGCTGGGGCTGGGAAGTCATCCTGCGGTTCCGCATCTTTTCGACGCCCTCTACGAGAAAAGGAGCGCACTCATGCGACGTCGCCTTTTGCTGCAAACAACCACCGAGACCATTCAGACGGCGGGGGAGGACGCGCATCAACAACTCTACGCTCTTCTTGTGCAGGGCAAACTTGTGGCCTGAGACTTTTGAGTGCGAGGAGGTGTGGCGGCGCTGCGGCGGTTGACCCGCGCGCCCCTGTTGCATCTTGCTTTCCATGGCTTTTCGCGCCATCGCGAAAAAAGGGGAGTCTCGCGGCGGCGGGGCGGCCCCTTCGTCACACAATGAACGCATAAACGGTCGCACCCCGATAGGCCAAGCTCCGCGTTAGGCATGCACTTTTTTTTGTACTTTTCTTAACCTCCTTTTTGTCGAGGCGAATTCGAAGCAGGCGGCGGGCAACGAGAGGAGGAGGGCGCGCGCGTGGGGACGGCGTTGGGTCTTGAAACTTTGAAACCGTCCCTGTGACCTTTTTTTTACAAAAAAAAAACAAGCCAACAACCCTGCGCCCCATCCTTATTTGAACAGGGAAATTGCCACTTTTTTTTTCTCGCGGGCCGTTTCTGGTTTTGAAAGGGGGAAGAACCGCGGGCGCCGCACACGAAGACGCCCGCCATGGAGCGAGCGGCGCCGTCGGCCTTCGAGGCGGCCCTTGCGGATTTGCTGCTGGCGGAGCTGCGGCGGCAGGGGGTGCCGCGCGTTGCCGAAGTTGTCTGCGCCGTTATGCGGCGCGTGCGTGTCGGGGGCGGCGGCGGGCAGGAGGGGGAGGAAGGGGCGGCGGAGTT